GCCCATAGTCATCATTCATCACATTTTCATAAGTAAATTTAGCGAAATATTTAAAACTTTCATACAATGTAAGTCTTACTACATAGTTAGACTCTAACTATCTGTTGTCATATTAGACTCAACATCAATAGAGTAGAATAGAGACAGAACCCTGATCAACCTATAACAATAACTAAACTATTACATAACATTGAACATAAACATGACATAGGAAATCCTTGAAATACAAGAATCCTTTCCTTGAACTTGGGGAAGTTATCCAAGCCCTTCACTGTAAGAGACATCCTTTAAGCATCCATAACCTACACTTTGTGTAAAACGGTGAAGAAGAATAGTGTTACTACAAGAATGCACTAAGTATGACAACTAATAAAAAACATGCATTTAAAAGGGACATTTTGTTAAAAAACCATGCATCATGCCTTTTCGTAAAACTTCATAAAATTTTGATACAATAAGTACAACATAGCTCATATACTACACATAGGCATAAAAACTATTCATGAGATCACATAAAGCCACATAATTCATTTATAGGTCATTTGGACTTTCATAACTTTATTCATTCTTTTACCTGAAGTCTTTTACCCCTACATAACCCTCTATTAACACTTAGTGCAATGCATGAATAGTGTCCCATTTTACTACCCACACACAAGCATCACCTTAAGGTCACAAAGATGAACATTCATGTTACCTGAATTAAATCAAACAGAGACATTCATGAAAACATAGCATATCAGAAGACACATACTTCATACATGACTCAACATGCTTTATACACAACATAGGATACTCATTCCAAGAGAACATACAAGTCAAGACTACCAACAACACCATAAGAAGTAATAGTCAGCAATATCATATTTGGATTCCATTTTATTTAGACCTCATAAGACCTTACTCGTAATGTCAATCTATGACTAGTAGTGAAATGTACATGTGAAGTCCCATAACCTCACACATACTTAGTAAACTCACAAGGAGACCACAAGCCTTATCATCTTCATCATACATCAACATGACAAGTATAGGAAACTTCGTACATACAAAGTAAGACCTTAATCATAAAATAAACAAGTCCAAGATCATGCATATTCAAGGTAAGACCTCTATCATATAGTGCATAAGACCAACATTATGCATCTAAAGTAAGACCTCATCACATAGACACTACAAGACTCATACAATACATATTATCATGCAAGTAAGTCAATACCATAGAATCATGCATAAGAGACATATACCTATGCATATATATATATATAACGACTTCCTAGAAGTCCCTTCAAGAGCTACTTGTGCAATGCATAGGTAAGTTCATTATTCTCACCTACACTAGGAAACTTCCTTTAGGTTATCCTAGTTAGGGATCATTAAATTACATCCACTGTCTAATTTACATTATGAAAACTTCACCTTAAACGACACTAGACCATGTCATCAAAACATGGAATCCGGTTTCATACAACCCCCCACCGAAAAGAGGTGCTCTACTTGCCAAGGTAGAACCATACATGATATCTTATCTAAGTGGATTCACTAACTATATCCTATGGTGGCACGTTGTTATGGAACTGAGAGATTGTTACAAGAAACCTTGAATCAGTAGACGTTGAGGTTTCAATCTCATGAGACATTGGTGAACCTACCTTCAACATTGGGATGCTAAGCTAACTTTCCTTTATTTAAAAGCCTTTCTTAACTTTTTCTTCATAAAATAATCCGTAGGAGATTAAATCATCATATGCATAGCTCATTGGTTATATATTAGAATTGTACTTTTATCAACCTAAATCATGTGAGAAAACCTTTCACATGGACATAGAATATTCAAGAATAGTCTAGTTTAGAGTACAATTGTGAATACCTTTCAAGAGACCCTAGTTTACTTGATTATCATACATGCTTCACAGATATGCTTTCATTTGTATGTTGTGTACTTATATAAGAATTCCTTTCACATAAACACATTTATACAGTACAAATAATCATACTTCATTATATCATTTACCTGACATAATAGCATATACTTTCATATTCTTTGCTTAATCATAAATTCACATTCATGTGCATAATATAATAACCCTAGGAACTATTATATCAAGGTAGACATGTGCATTGTATAGAAAAAGTTCCATTCCATTTCCTACACTTTATGGACATATATTTTACATGCATAGTAATAGTCGTTGGTGCATATGAGAATTATTCTTTCATTAGACACCATCAACCTATACTAATTCTTAACATGCATAAGTTGTCTGTGTACACTGGACAACATGATCACATATTGACACTTAAAATATAGGTGATGCAGCCGCCCTCCAATGATCACCGCACACATTCATACATAGAATCTACATCACTTTATATCATAGGTGACAAGACCCTTCAACATTGCATCCAATACTCCGAACATTAGCTAAGATCACACATTTATATACAGGTACAAAGATAGTGGTCATTCACCATTATCACTTCATCAATGGTAGAATCTACAAAAAACATAACCCTAACAACTTCATTCAAATGTTGAAGACACCATTAGTACACATAGAACATGATACTAGATGAAGACACTAGGCATTGTAATTCACACTGTGTGATCATAAGAACCACACTCCATAATTCATACTTCCATTCAAGGTGATGAACAAAACATATATATATTGACAAGAAAGTAAAAACCACCACCATAAGTGGACCATACCACACAGGGCCATACAAGGCCAATTCAACTATCAATTCTATAGAAAAGTAGAAGAAGTAGAACAATCTTACCAATGAGTACATATTTAGACCTTAAGTCTCTTTGCCATCCTAGACAGAACATCATAAGAGTACAATAGCGACACGACCCTTATCACATAATACTTTACTATACAGTTTGTATGACTTTAACAGTAAACATAAGTAGGAGATCCTTGAACTTAAGGATTTCTTTCCTTGTGCTTGGGAATTCTCATATCAAGCTCCTCACCATCTGGAGAAATCCTTTAAGTATCCATAACCTACACTATGAGTAAAAAGTAGTGAAGAATGGAGTTAGTACAAGAGTTCACTAAGTACGACAACCATGCAATAATATAAATTTAAAAGGGAGACACTACAACATTTTATGTCTCCAACCACCCTAGAAAAGTGTGGCCTAAACTATGAAAAAGTGTGGCCTTTGGTAAAAAGCCACACTTTTTGACTTTAAGCCACACTTTTCCAGGTGTGGCCGAAACCAGCGAAACCTTAGAGTTTAGGCGACGCTTTACTAGCGTAGCCTTATCAGCTACGCTTAAAAGCGTAGCCAAAAGGAAAAAAGGCCACACTTTTTACCTACGCTTAGAAGTATTGCGATATGAGCAACACTTTTCATTGTAGCCTCAATGTCAAAAAGGCCACACTTTGTAGCTACGCTTAGAAGTGTTGCCTTATCAGCTACACTTACAAGCGCAGCCTAAAAGAGAAAAAGCCATGCTTCTGCTGCTACGTTTATAAATTTTGCTTTATAAGCTACACTTTGAAGCGTGGCCTTTGCTACCATATTGCCCACACTTATCAAGTGTTGCCTTTTCTATCTAATATATGACAACACTTTGAAGTGTTGTCCTTGCTCAAGTTCATACACAATTTACAGTCCTATACCACAATTTCTAATTAAAATACTCCAATATTATATTGCAATAAATAATCTCTAGCGCTAACAAGTAATTCAAATTTATAGATTTCCCATAAAGTACTTCAAAAGATAGTATGTGTTGTGTACACATACCCATACTTATACATCAATATTCTAAATGTGTACACATAAATCAAATATTTATTTAAACTTTTACAATAGTTCAAAAACTCTTCATCATCCACTTCAAATTTAATCACCTCCATTTCCCTACACAAATAAGATATTGGCCGTTATATAGAAGAGGTAAGACTTTCAGATTGCAACAATGAAATCCAACAATTATAGAGAAAAGGAATTAATGAGGAGACACAAACAGTTAGATTCTCCTATAATTATTTGTGTATTTGTTTGTAGTTATGGAAGCATGCTTTACTGACGGAAATAATGATATATAGAAGCACAAAAGGCATAGTGAAAACATTAACAAAAGTTACAGATTGCAGCAACAGTTATGCTAACAACATGGATATTCTATAGAATGCAGCAGCAGTTACAGAAAATATTAACAACAAATATGCAGATTGTAGATTGCAGATTCCACACTGACTGAATCCTCAATATCTATTTCACTAGAAGCAAAAACTTGAACCATATAAAAGCAATTCTATCTTATTTTGATTAGGCAAATGAGGAGCATATCCACAGATTGTGTAGATTGCATGTTCTATAGAAGCCAAAACTTGAACCATATAAAAGCAATTCTATCATATTTATATTAGGCTAATGAGGAGCAGAGCCACAGATGGTGCCTGTTGTGCAAGCTTTTATGACTGTAGAACAGTTAACTGACTGAATCCTCAATATCCATTTCACTTCATCGAGATCTATACTTTTAGAGAACTCAATAATTTGTATTTTTAAGACAAAGGATCCTTTAACTCTGCAGGTTATCTATGATTTCTACTAAACATTCAAATCATTATTCAACTAAAAAGGCTCCTTGGAAACACCAACCTTAACGCAAGGGTAGCAACAGGACTAATCAATAATTTGGACTGTAATGTTCTACACCAGTTTGCAAGCTAGTACAGACTTATAGCATGCTGTGATGTTCTATACAAATGCCAAAAAAAACAGTGAAACAAAACAAGCAAAATCTTAGCTAAATTTAAACCAAATACATCAACAACTAAAGAGAGAAAAGTCCAGATTGTAGATTACAGCAGCAGCAAAAATTAAACAAATTAGATTAGTTTCCTTGCGTAGTTAATATGTTCCACACGATCAAACAAGGAAACTAAATCTGACATAGCAAAACTACACTTCAACCATACCAAACAAGCACAATGAACATTGGTCTAGAGAAACAAAACCTTAGCTCAATTTAAACCAAAGCCACTAACAATGAACTTGCTGTCACTGATCTACCATAGCACCTAAGTCGACCAGGCTGCTCCTTACAAAAAACTGCCGTAAAAACATCATCTGCAGTTTCCCCAGAATTTTAGCGATTTTGAAGTTCAGCCTATTGAATAAAATTGACTTTCATATTAATTCAAGTACTTCTTATTTCTCTCTAGCTTAAATGAGTTTATGGTTCATTAAGTAACATCAATTGACATCCCTTCAAGCATATTAAATTAAATTATCACCCTTTAAACAATGTAAAAAAATTTAAACCTGAATTAAATTCATCATTAATACACTTTAAAAAACTTACTATTGCAATTTGAGTATCGGCCTGAAGTTCCTTTCCCTTTTTGTACCAGTTGCAATAAACATTTTAGACTTTGATGGTTCCTCATTGTTTTCTTTGGTTGCATGCTACAAATTATATAAAAAGATATTTAAAAACTTATCAATCTATTGGAGGAATACAAATGGATTAAATGTATACGGCTGAAGATGCTAAGCATTACCAATGCCACGCGTACTCTTGCAAAACTAATAGGTCCCATTCGATGCCTCCATTTTTGCTTTTTCCTATTTTGAGAATTCATCCCACACATGGCGTATGATTATATAAAAAGATATGTTTGAATTAATAAATAAAACAAAAATAGAATCGATATAATCAAAAATAAGTTGAACAATAGAAATGTAGTATATTAGCCTTACTTGAAAAGATGGGTCTTTCCAATACTCGATCAATTGACGGAAATCATCTTCTGCAATGTCACTGGGACGTTTTGCTAGCATGTCCTCAATGGTACTATTTTTATCAAAAAATCTCTCTTTAATTTTTTGCTTGTATCGCTTCCAAGCATCACGAAAGCCAGTCATCACCCACGCTTTTCCTTCTATTGGAATTATGAATTTGGACAATGTAAAATAAAATATAGTTAGCTTCAATCTGTAAAAACAAAGAATAAATATGCAATTTAAAAATTAATTGTTCTTACATTGATATATTCCCACATGCGCTTTTTAGTATCTTCTGGCACCGCATGCCAACTAGTGTACATCAAGTTGATGAACCTCGGATTCCTTGAAATTGTTCCTATAAAGTTGGTGAATTCGGACACTATCTTACCAGTTGGTCCCACTGCTTGCCCTTTATCAAATGTCACCTCCTTTGTTTCTTCAAAATTTCTTGCGTGAATATCCTTACATGTTGTTTTTCCACGGAATTTTTTCGCCTCCAATATTTCTTGACTTATGTAACAGTAAGTAAATAAGAAATGTCATTTATATAAGGAATAAATCTTATAACGCTTGAGACATACCTTTCGTACTACAATCAATGCCAATTTCCTCTTCTATAGCACACTCATCCCTATTGATTTCTTCTTGATCCACAAGATCATCAGCTACTATGTGGTTATCTGTTTTTGTTTCATCGCCTATGATCGACTTCCTCTTTACCTGCTTGCAGTTTGGTAGATCATTAATATCATGTTCTTTCTGTAACCATTGTTCTGCTAGAAACTGATCAAGACTTGTGGCCGGTATGACAGACTTCCTCTTCACCTGTTTGAAGTTTAATTGATCTTGAATACCATGTTGTACCTCTGAATTACCAAATGTTTCCCCAGTCACATACACTGAATAAGTAACACCTTGCTTTGAAGACATTTAGAACATAAAGTTTTGCATAGGAAGTTTAATTCTTTTCTCTTGAATGGACTCTCTAGATTGAAATAATATCTTCTTAGTTTGTAGAATTAAATCCTCAGAATTCTTTCTTTTATGCGCTATTGGTACATGCTCTTTCTTATCTTTATCATTGCGTTCGTTAGCAAGTTGTTCTCTCTTAATCTTGAACTGGTTAGCCAATTCAGTACTTGATCGATATTGCATATCAAAGTTCAGATTCTTCAATGGGCTTTGAGCTTTGTTCGGATTCGAACCCTTTTTCTTTTGTGCTGCTGATTGACTCATTATTTCCGCCTTCTTTTAATATCTTTATTTTCTTTCCCAACAGTAAATTAACCTACAAAACAATAATAATGTTATTGTTAAATAGAAAAAGCAAACCTGCAAATAGAAGAGGACTGATTTCACTATGCTAATTAGAACGAGTTGTGAACCAATCTTTAGCTTCCAGAAAATTAAGGGAGTAGTACATAAGGAGGACTGATTTCACTGTGTTGCCTTCACTGCCTTGACTGTGCTGCCTGTAATGTCCAATGCCTAATAGTAATAGGAAAAAATAAGAATTTAGATGACAACAACAATTCACATTTACTAATCAGAATGTAATTTGACAAATGTAACATGCATACTCCAGATATTACTAACCTTAGTTATGCAAGTTGTTCCAACATACAGTCAAATAAAATAAAAGTAAGCTAGAATTACAGCTTCATCAACAAAACAAAAATTACATAAATTAAAGAAGTTAACATAAATTATCGACCAAAAACAGCCAGACACATAAACAAAGCCAACATTATACATAGAAATCTTAAGGTGTTTGTACAAAAAAAAGCTAAATAACCAAAAAAAGTGAGTTAGCACTATATGTTCATCATGAAAATAAGAATACTCATGGTTTACAATCATCTTCAAACTCTTCTTTAGATTCATCAGACTCATCTTCGGAATCATCTTCATACTCATTTTCAGACTCCTCTTCACACTCTTCTTCAGATTCATCTTCGAACTTTTCTTCAGACTCATCTTCAAACTCCTTTTCATACTCAACCTCAAGTTGTTGAGTATCAAATTCCTCCGGAGGCACATCAATAACAGTTTCTGGTATATCATTCCTTACTAAGGGAACTTCACCATCATCTTCTGGTATGGATGGTCCCGTCAAGTGTTCAGACAACTCATTTTCATAATTTTGTGGGAGATCAGATTCAAATTCATCACTCATGTTAAACAAGTCTCTTGGCACAATCTTCATAACATAATGTCTATCTTGATCATATGGATCTTGCACATAAAAGCATTGATGTACTTGAGATGCAAGCACAAAAGGCTCTTCCAGAGAGCATCTCTTGTTAAAATAGACATAAGTTAGGCCATACATATCTTTCTCAGCCTCATACCAATCACACTTAAAGAGAAAAACCTGAAAATTACTATAATAGTCTAACTCAACTATATCAACTATTCTACCATAATAAGTCAAATCTGCAGCAATCGGGTTCTTATCCTTTGAGCTTGCAAACCTCGTAGTTGAGGCAACAAGTGTAACACCACTAGTTTGTGTTTTGCGTCTTGTATCACGCTGCCTAATATGGAATCTATATCCATTGATGAGATAGCCAAAGTATCTTTTAGCAACAACATTTGGTCCTCTAGACAATTGTTTTATCAAATCAGGCACATCCTCTTGCAAAGCACGAGTTCCAAACCATTGAGAGTAGTTTTGACAATGATCCTTGTCCTTGCTCCATTTAGATCTTCGCGGATGATTATTAACCTCTTGCATATGCTCTCTACACATCATGTATTTTTTGGTTAAAATTATAAATAAAATAAATATGTTAAAACTTAATTATACAAATAAAAATACTATATTAAAGTAAAGTACCTAATATATTCTTGGATTTCATCACAATTTCCCAATATGTATGCATGTGCCTGACTTAGTGATTTGTTGTCGAAAATAAAAGGATCAGTTTTCTTTGCTCCTATAGGACATCCCTTAATAGGAAACAAACTTACTATTTCTGGATCAGTTGGGTCATATTCATCATTATTTCGGCTTCTTCTATTAAATCTTGTTTGTACAGCCCCATTAAGATATGTTGAAAATAAATTCATACAGTCTATTCCCACACGTGCCTCATCTATGCAACCTTCTCGATAACGTCTATTGCGGATATATGATTTAAATGTACCTATTTCTCTTTCGGTGGAATACATCCATCGGTTCTGAACTGGACCACCTAATCTCACTTCATTCGCCAAATGTATAGGCAGAAGAATCATTATATCAAAAAATGACGGAGGAAAAATTCGTTCCAACTGATTTATTATTTCCCTTATCTCTACTTCTAAGCAATCTAATTCCTTCAATGTTATAACTTTTTGACACAAACGTTATAAGAAGGAGCATAAACGAACTAAAGCAATAGCCACATGATCTTGAAGGATGCTTTTAATGGGTATTGGAAGCAAGTAATGTAACATGAAATGAGCATCATGGGTCTTATAACCAGACAATTTCCTTTCATCCAGTTGCACACACCTAGATATATTAGAGGCACTGCCATCAGGTAGCTTGGCTGTCTTTAAAACTCCACAAAAAACTGATTTCTCTCCATTTGCCATTGAGAAGAAAGCTTTTGCAAACTTTGTTCTCTTATCATCTCCAGCATCTTTTGGATGAAGATTCTTTCTAATTGCCATCTCTTTCAAATCATATCGGGCTTTTGCATGATCCTTTGTTTTGCCTGGAATATCCAAAAGAGTTCCAAGAATGCTATCAACTATATTTTTCTCTATGTGCATTACATCAAGGTTATGGCGTAACAAGTTGTGCTGCCAGTAAGGTAATTCAAAAAAAATTGACCTTTTTTTCCATGGGCCATTATTTGATCTCTTTATCTTCTTTCCAAACACATTTTCAAAATCGTTTAAGTTATGAAGCACATCAGTTCCCTTTAATAAATGTGGAGGAGGCCTGAATTCAGGTTTTCCATTGAACGATCTTTTGTTAGCTCTCCATGGATGATCCATGGGTAGAAAAACACGATGATCCATATAACACATTTTCCGACTATGCTTAAGATAGTGAGAATTAGTGTTATAGTTACAACAAGGGCAAGCAAACTTTCCTTTTGTACTCAATCGAGACAACATAGCATATGCAGGAAAGTCACTGATTGTCCACATAAGAGCTGCTCGCATTTGAAAAGTTTGATTTCTTGAAGCATCATATGTTTTAACCCCAGAATTCCACAACAATTTTTACTCATCTATCAATGGTTGTAAGTAAACATCAATGTCATTTCCAGGTGATCATGGCCTAGGTATAAGAAATGAAAGTATAGAATATTACGATTTCATGCACATCCAAGGCGGCATATTATGCGTCATCAACATAACTGGCCCTGTGCTATGAGATATACTCATGGTTCGGAATGGATTGAACCCATCACTTGCTAATCCAAGTCTCACATTGCGAGAATCTAGTGCGAAATCTGGATGCAACCTATCAAAATCAATCCATGCTTGACCATCAGCGGGATGCCTTAACTTTTCATCTTTTGAACGCTCCTCATCATACCACCTCAAAGAATCTGCCGTCTTTGAGCACATAAATAACCTTTTGAGTCTAGGAATTAATGGAGAGTGTCTCAAAGTCTTTACTGAAACTCGATGTGATTTTTTAGAAGACTCAACCTTACCATCAACTTCAGGATTTTCAATATATCGTGAAGCTCCGCAAGTATGACAAAATTTATCATCCTTATGATCATTCCTAAACAACATGCAATCATTTGGACATGCATCAATTTTCTCATAATCAAGGCCGAGATTCATGACCATAGGCTTGGTTTTATTGTAAGAGGGAGGAATGTTCAACTCGGGCATCGCCTCTTTTAATAAATCTAAAAGAGAAGTGAATGATTCATTGCTCCATCCGTGTAGACACTTCAACAAATATAAACGAAGTGTGAATGATAATTTAGAGAATCCTGTACAACAAGGATATAGTATTTCTTGGCATCTTCATTTGGACCATTATAAGCTCCTTTTGCATGTGCAACATCTCTAAATTCATCATTCAACAATCAATAAATATCATCACGCGAGCAATCCATATCATCTTCAACATTCAACTTGATATCCCATTCTCCATGATTGATCCATCTAGTATAACCTTTAACAAATCCATAGCATATTAGATGATCATACACTACATTCCTTCGAGTCCAACGAATATTACAACATTTTGCACATGGACATTGAATTTCCTCTCCGTGAGGATTTCCATAAGAGTAAGAAAAATCTAGGAATGATTCCACACCATCAACATAGGGTTGGCTATACCTTGCTAAATTCATCCAATCCTTGGATGGGATATTTGAATTCCTATAAAAAGATATAAATATTTGATATTTCAATAAGAATCATTAAATTCATGATTAAGTTACCAAAATCAGGTGTTATGAGATGATAATATTTTCTTACGTAGTCATGACACTTGTGTTATGCCAAATAAAACTTTGAATCCTCCACAAATGTTTTTGAATGTTGATTTTGGTTCTAAGGGAAAATAAGTAAAATTAATAGGATAGAAAGAATTAAGAAAGACAGTGAATTAATAGGATAGACAAAATTTAATGAACTAATCAAGAATAAGGAATTTTTTCAAGAATCTTGAAGTGTTCAAATCTTTACAGAATCACGTGATAAGGTCTACTAGAAACCTAATTTTAAAGAGTTCATTAATTTAACTTCAATTGTTATGTAGCCTTCAAAAATCTAAAAGTGGAAGAAAACCATTAAAGCGATCTAAAGAAAGCAAGTTGAACTAGCTTTTAAGTCTAATCAAAACCTACCAGGACTACAAAACAACTCAATTTACTTCATCAAAAAATCAGTCAGAAAAATAAGGGGAGATAACATAGAAGACTTTATATATAGCTTAATCTATCTGTGAAGGAATTTTCTTGATTTCTATTCCTAAATCTTGTTCAATTCTATATCTCACAGTCAGATATATACTATTAGTAGTAGGAAAAATCAACACATAGAGCTTAATGATTTAGAATAAAGTAAATGAACATAATTAATACATACAAAATGAAGTGATGCTCAAAAGTAACCTGGCTAACAGCTAAACCAAGCTTCACATATCTCTCTGATTGTCTAACCTGCAGAATAAATTACCAAAGATGAAATAGCAAAAACAATATATAAGTCAATAAGCAAGATCAAAGATCTGTTATACATACCCTGTGCAAATATGTTTCTGA